CATCTTTTTTTTTAATTTATTGAATGACAAAACATATATAGATATTAATTTAGAAACTTAAAATTATTTTAAAAATGACTCTGACTATAGTGTCTCTCAGGTCATCTGGGATGCAATGAAGGCATTGGTCAGAGGGAAGTACATTGCAATTACTTGGCTAATAGAGAATCCTGGTTATCATGAACCCTGAGTTAATCCCAGTTAAAGATGCCACTGATGTTCCCAGTTTTGCTTGTTATCTATACTGATGCAAGCCCAGCAAAGTGGGTGGGACAGGGAAAACTGCATTCTCATGACCCGCACGTACTGTCAAGGATCTAGAACACTGCATATGCTGCAGCCCTTAATATTTAACGGCCCTTTTTTCAGAGTTAAAACGCTTCAGCCCATCTTATTTCAGTAAACCTTACAAGACCATCGAAAGAGAGATGCAGGTTATTACTTTCCATATTACTGATGTAAGTATTTGCTTGACAACTAAAGTAAACTAACTTTCACTTTGGTATTTTATATGTATGTTGTGGATGTGCTTGAGACCATTGGTCATATGAGCTGAAATAAACTAAGTAAGTACTTTCTGTATTACTGATGTAAGAATTTGCCTGACAACTAAAGTCATCATTGGAAGTCTTGCTTTGTGTTCCCCCATTTTGGGGGCTGGGTGGGCTTGCACCAGGAACCAGGCATCTGCTGGTAACACCTAGAATCTGGAACTCCTCTTCTCACTGATGGTTACCTGTTGCTGAGTCTGTATTCTTTAAGGCACCAGGCAAAGATTCTCTCAAGACCTCTGGACCTACAATTGTGGTTTTAATTATTCCCACAAATGCTGCCTGTGATCTTAGGTTATTATAGTTTTAGAATATTTATGCTTTATATTTCTCTTTCATTTGTTTTATTATGCCATTTTAGTTGTTGGTCTTATTACATATTTGATGCTTGTTTCACTGGCATTTAGGATACTGTTGCTTTGTTTTCCATGTCATAAGATGTCTCAGAGATAGCAATAAAGAGAGACAGAGGCCAGGCAGAAATGTTTTAAATAAAGTTACTACCTAAAAAGCATATGGCCAACCTGAGATTTTAACCAGGAACTTCATAGTTCATTCTCTTAACAACTATACTATCCTGATTGAATAAATGCTTTATAAAGGCCCCGGTCACACGGAGCATTAGGCACGCTAGAGAGACGGAAGATAGATGGATTTTCCAGGTGCGATCTCACCGCCACATCTGGGAAGCGTAGAGCTCCCGTGGCGCATCCGAGGCTTCCCGTCGAAGATGCGGGGTAAAAAACTAGTACCTCGGAGGTACTAGTTTCCGGAAACCACAGGGCAAGGGCGGGCGTCTGATCGCGTTTCCGGTGGTAGTTCCGGTGCCCGCCCATGTCCCCTTGCAAAAGGTGTTTTTCCCCCCAAGTTTCCACGGATGCACACAAGCACCCAACAGAGCATGCACACATTTCAGTTTTAAAAAACAACAACAACACAACCCCGTTTGCCGCGCCGCTCCGCTTCTTTGCCGCATCGTGTGATCGGCACCTCCCCCCTAACCACGGGAGCTCACCGGGACCTCAACCCGACGCCTGATTGCGCAGTCGCGCGCTAGTTTGCTCCGGGGTAAACAGCCACGCCTCCCCCACGCATTTTCCTGCCCGTGTGGCCGGGGCCAAAGCTAAGCAACTGCAAAACAACAACAACATATCAACACTAACATAAATTGGGCTTCAATTTTTTGAGACACACACTAGGGCATCAGAGTTGTAATCAATTCCTGTTTCAACACTCCTTGAGTCCTTGCCATTGGCTATCCTGAACCTTAAGGAACACTTTGCTGAGAAATTCTAGTTTTACCTAAACACAACCACTTGAATCTTGAATATTGAATATTTTAGCTCAGTAATAGAAGGGAACAAAGTTCAAGCTTCACATTTTCTTCAGTTGTTAGTCTAAGGCTCCAAGAAAACCCCACAGATGTCTCACTTCCTTGCTCTCTTTGCAATTTTGAAGTTACCTATTTCTATAATTACTAAGTCCTGAGACAAGGAAGCACTAGCTAGCCAGCTCACGCACCAAGCTATACTTAAGCTCTTCTCCAAACACAGAGATCCAAGAAGGACCAAAATATAGCCCATGGAGGGGGGGGGGGAAGGGGAACAAATATAATTGAGCTTTACATCAAAGAGCTGAGTAAAATCTGAAACAAAATTGTCAGCTGATCAAATAAAAGTATTTTTCAGTAGGGATATCACTTTCACCAAAGCCTGCTGATAGCCAAATCTGAGCAACAAGGTGAAACCCGTACCACCATTCAGGGCTGTGTGAACCTGGATTTTGCCTTGTGTTGCTTACTTAAGCTGCTCTTTGATGATCAGGTAGAGATGAAGGGGCAAAATGATAAACGCAAAATATTATATACTGAGCAGCACGGAGACATAATAAAAAAGGTACTCTGCATTTATCCTTCACCAGTTGTTTAAATCTAGACTCTGCTAGCTGTAATTTACTCTCATGTAAAGGAGTCACTCTGGGTGCTACTTTTAGGCATTTCTTCTTTTTTAAATCTTTTTTAGCTGCTATGGGAACAAAAATCCCCATACCAAGTATCATCTTCCCATCTCCGAGAATACAAATCCTTTTTCAAAGCATAAGCAGTGTTTTGAAATCTGAGTCACCAGAGGAGCCATGATCAGTTTGAAAGTCTGAGTCATCACTGAGTCTAACAAGAAGTTAGAATTAATTAGTTGGAGTTAGTTGGAATGAATATACCCATAATATTTAAGAGATGAATGACATTCTTGCAGAACAGAATGTTTACTTTAGTGCCCTCTTGATTAACTGAAACAAGCCAGCTTCACACAAAGCCTATTGGAGGCACGAAGCAGTTCATGTAAATGTGATTACCTATGAAAACCCTTGGTTCTATGTCACATGTACAAAGATATAACCCTATTATCTGGCTAAACAGACAGCAGAAGAAGATTCAAATTCTGTTTGTTTTCCAGATCACCATGAAGCTTCATGCTCAGACCTAGGGAACTTCCCAATTTGGAATGAGTCAGCAGCAGCAAACAACCTGTCCCCCCCCCCCACTCTTTTGAAATGTAGCTCCTGAAAGCCTACAAAGAATTCTACTACTTGAACTAATTGAAAGGTTAGGCTTGTTTATTTGTTTATAAATGATTAAGTTATCATCCAAATAAAAGTCCTAGCAGCTTAATGAGGGCTACAAGCAACTAAAAATAAATCTTTTCATAGGCTATAAAAATTGGTTCAAGGAAACATGTGCACTGTTTCAACTGGATCAAATCAAACAATCAGCAAAGAACAGGCAAACAGCTTCATTAGATAACGAATCAGCAATAGAAACACAATTTAACACATTTTTGCCATCCTAAAATCATTCATATTAGCCACTTGCCAAGCAAGACAAACATAGCCAGCTCAGTTCTTTCACATGCTTACTATCTTAAGACCATCTGTATTGCCCCAGTAACTTCTCTGAATGAAAAACAAATTCATTTACTACAACCCTGGGCCTAATGGAAATCCCTCCCAGACCAAATCTCTCCCTCTAGGGACTAAATTCTTAAGCAATTAAAGTAACAAAGATTAGAATGTGGATAGGGCCTTCTGAATTATGGCCCTATAGAATCAGCTACTCTCTGTGATCTAAACTTGTAGGTCATGTAAGACAATATGAATATTTTATTCAAAAGCTGCTTTTAAAATGTAGCTAACCAAGTTTTCTACTGTACTGTTCTGGGGACACTAGAACAGAATCACAGCGATTGAAGGAGCCATAGAGACCATCTAGTCCAACCCCCTGCTCAATGCAGGATCAGCCTGAAGCATCCCTGACAAGTGTTCATCCAGCTGCTGCTTGAAGACTGTCAGTGAGGGGGAGCTCACCATCTCCCTAGGCAGCCGATTCCACTGCTGAACTACTCTTACTGTAAAAAGAAATTTCCTAATATCCAATGCACCCCCCATCCAGTATGCATGCTTCTCATTTTTGTTAACCAGATGTAGAACTCTGCACTTATCCTTGTTGAATTACACCTTGTTCACATCCGCCCACTTTTCCAGTGTGTTCAGATCTCATTGAATTTTATCTCTTTCTTCCAGTGTGTTCGCTACTCCTCCCAATTTGGTGTCATCTGCAAATTTAATTAATAGTCCCTCTGCCCTCTTTTCCAGATCATTTACAAAAATACTGAAAAATACCAGGCCCAGAACCAAGCCCTGTGGTACCCCAGTGGCTACCTCCCTCTAATCAAATGAAATGCCACTGACAACTACTCTTTGGGTGCGGTTCTCCTACCAGTTCCCTATCCATCTAACTATCCTAGAGTCCAATCTGCAGTCTTCCCATTTACTCAGAAGAACATCATGGGGAACCTTGCCAAAACCTTTACTGAAAACCAGGTAAACAACATTGACGGCTTTCCTATCATACAGTAAACTCGCCACTGGAGCAAGAAGAAAACGAAGTTCGTCTGGCAGGACCTGTTGGGGACAAATCCATGCTGACTTCCCCAGATCAACAAGTTGTCCTTCAGATGCTTGCAGATTGACCCCTTTAAGATCTGTTCCAGTATTTTCCCTGGGACAGAGGTCAGACTGACTGGCCTGTAGTTTCCTGGGTCATCCTTCCTCCCATTTTGGGAAATTAGGATAACATTTGCCCTCTTCCAGTGTTGCGGCACATCTCCCATTCTCTAAAAGATCTTGAAGATGATGACAAAGGCCCTGCAAACTCTCTAGAAAGTTCTTTTGAGCACTCTCGGCATCTGGCCCAGGGATCTGTACTCATCCAGTGCAGCCAGGTGCTTCTAACAACCTCTCTATCCATGTCAAACAGCAGCCCAGACATCGTGCCTTGTCTACTACCATCTCTAGATAACCCTGTTCTCTTCTTCAGGGAAAAGACTGAGGCAAAATAGAAATTGAGGCTTTCTGCTTTCTCTCTGTCCTCTGTCAGAGTGTCTCCATGTTTACCCAACAGTAGACCGATTGCCTGTTTCTCCTTGGTTTTGTTCCTCACATAGCTGAAGAAGCTTTTCTTGTTGTGCCAAGCCTCCCGGGCCAACTTCAGCTCATACTGAGCTTTGACTTCTATAATAGCTGACCTACCGCATCCAGCAACCCACAGATACTCTTCTTTAGAGGTATGCCCTTCCCTCAATTTCTTGAACACTTCCTTTTTCTTCCTTAGCTCATCAGAGTTCATCCACATTGGCATCATGGATTCCCTAGCATATTTCCATCTTGTTGGAACAGTGATGGCTTGAGCTTGCAAGAGCTCCTGTTTTAGAGAGCCCACCCTTCACTTGCTCCTTTCCCTTCCAGTATTCTTGCCCATGAAATGACTCTCATTATGCCCCTAAATTCATTAAAGTGAACCCTACTAAAATTTAACATACACATCTAGCTACAAACTTCCTTGGCCCCCACAGAACAAGGAATTCTAGAAGGACATGGTCACTTCTCTCTAAGATCCCCACCAATTTCACCCCATCTACCAACTCTTACTTGTTCGTTAATCTCAAACTGAGTATGGCCGAACTCCTCATAGCTTCCTCCACCATTCGAAAAAGAAAGTTGTTAGCCAGGCAGGTCAGGAAGTTGTGTGACTCTGGATGCTTAGCAGAGTTTGTCTCCCAGCACATTATCAGGGAAGTTGAAATCACCCATAACTACCGGGTTATGTTGCTTGGATATACTGTCAAGCTGCCCAAGGAGGGCAGCATGCACCTCCTTGCCCTGGTCAGGTGATCTGTAGCAGACTCCAACCACAATACTGTTTGTCCTTCTCTCATTCATCCTCACCCAAATACTTTCAACTGGGCTGTCACCCGCCTCCTCAAGTATTTCCTGACAAGTAAACCTCTCTCACATACAGTGCCACTCTGCCTCCTCTTCAACCCTTTTACTTTTTCTTCAATAACTCATAGCCATTCACTACTACATTCCAGTCATGGAAATCATCCCACCAAGTCTCCATAATGCCTCCTAAATCATATCCCTCTGTCTGCATTAGAAGCACAAGCTCTTCCTTCTTACTGCCCAAGCTCTGGGCACTGGTACATAGGCACCTGAAGCCCTGCACCTTCGGCTCCATTTGACCTGGCCTTCTAAGGTGGGCCTCTGCTGTATGCTCTTCTTCACTGATACCCCTATGTTAGTCATCTCCTTCCCCTTGTGATGTCAGTTTAAAGTCCTCCTAATTAATCTTCCCATGGATGGAACCCTCCCCATGTACGCATGTATCTTGCCAGGAACCCTTTGAGGAGAGGCTGTTCAAGCAAAGGGAAAATTCAGGGATCAATGAAAAATTTAAAAATCAAAACAATGGTTACTAAAGTCTGAGAACTACTGAGAAAAGATTACAGTAGTCAGAAATTAGTAGGCCAGGACTACAGTTTGGCAATATTTACTGAAGGAAGCACACTGCATTACATAAATGAACGGCTGTACTCCAACCATTTATAGTGATACTACAACATTAATTTTTGCTTCTTGTGGGACTCCACAGTAGCCGATTAGGAAACTGTACAACATAATTAGGTGGAAAGATGATGACACATTCAGTACAAGCCCAAGCAGAGAAATCCAATTTTGTGATGCCACCAGGGTTCATCTAAAGAAACACCCCCACCCCACTCAAACCATACACTGGATATTATGAAAGGGCAGGATGGGGGGTGGGGTGGAGTACCTGAACAAATCCTTATTCCCATTATTTCATCATCCTTATTTGGGCAACAGGAAAGCAGGCATAATCCCACGTTAATTATTATCAAGCCAGGTAACAGTGCAAAGGGCCAGCCACATTTTAAAGCTTGGGAGGCATAAGGCATATGTAGAACTTGGGAGGGAAAATAAGGAATACTTTAATCAAACATCTTATTATGATATACACAAGCACAGAAAAGAAAAGTCAAACCAAAGCTTTGATTTAATATTGATAATAAAGTCCTCCTTAAAGACAAGACACAAAGCTTGCCAAAGCATCTTTCCTGCTATTGGTCCCAACTACTACTATTCAGACATATGATGCCTCTGAACATCAGGTTTTCAGTTACCCTGATTACTGTCCATGAATTTCTATTATCCCATTTAAAGCAAATAAGAATATTTGGGGGGGGGGGGGAAGTCTCAACATTAATTTCCCTCAGGAATTTACTCATAAGTAACATGTTTACATATTTAGCAAAGATAGGAAAGTATCCAGAGTAAGAGGTTAGGCTAAGAGCAACCTAACAAATTCATGAATTTGATGAAGTGGAATATGTTGGCTCCACTTTTGCCCCATCTATGTTTCAAACAGATGAAGAATCAACATGGTTTCAGTGAATATCACCTGGTTACAGATCCTAGCCATTCCGTCTCCTAGTAGATCTCTTCGGAACACATGAAACTGCCTTTCATTAGAACATAAGAGAAGCCATGTTGGATCAGGCCAATGACCCATCCAGTCTAACACTCTGTGTTACACAGTGGCCAAAACCCAGGTGCTACCAGGAGGTCCACCAGGGGTGACAGAACTCCAAAAGCCCTCCCACTTTGGGCCCCCAAGCATGAAGAGCATCACTGCCTCAGACATACTGTTTCATATAGATGAAACAGTATGTCTGAGGCAGTGATGCTCTTGCAGCTAATAGCCACTGATGGATCTCTGCTCCATATGTTTATCCAATCACCTCTTCAAGCTGTCTGTGCCTGTAGCTGCTACCACTTCTTGTGACAGTGAGTTCCACATGTTAATTACTCTTTGGGTGAAGAAGTATTTCCTTTTATCTGTTCTAAGCTTACTGCTCGTTAATTTCATTGAGTACCCACAAGTTCTTGTACTGTAAAGAAAAGAAGAGAAATATTTCTTTCTTGACCTTCTCTATCCCGTGCATAATTCTGTAAACCTCTATCATGTCAACCCTCAATTGTCATTTCTCCAAGATAAAGAGCCCTAACCTCTTCAACCTTTCTTCATAAGGAAGGTGTTCCATCCTGTTAATCATTTCATTTGCCCTTTTCTGCACTTTTTCCAATGCCATAATATCTTTCTTGAGGTGCAGTGAACAGAACTGTACACAGTATTTCAAATGAGGCCACACCATAGATTTACACAGGGGCAGTATGATACTGGCTGACACAGTTATTTCATCTAACTGCTTTCATAATTTCATCTCCTGTTGGCTTTCCCTGAAGATTTAGTTTAAAAATTGCTCTGCCACCTTTTTGATTTTGAGCACCAGCAGCCTGGTTCCTTCTTGAGACAAGCGGAGGCCATCTCTTTTGTACAGGTCCTGCTTGTTCCAAAAAGTATCCGAATGCTCAACAAACCCCTCCTCCCTACACCATTGTCTCATCCATGCACTGAGACTCCTGATTTGTGCCTCTCTAGCTGTCCCTACATGTGGAACAGGCAGCACTTCTGAGATGGCTACCTTGGAGGTCCTGGCCTTGAGTCTCCTGCCTTGCAGTCTAAATTTTTTCCTCCAGGACCACAAGACTACATCTCCCCACATCGTTGCTGCTCCCCACTAGCTCCTCCCCAGCACTGTCTACTACCCTATCTAGACCACATGCAATGTCTGCTACCTTCGCATCAGGCAGGCAAGTCACCATGCAGTCAGTACGCAGGTTTGCAAGCCATCTATCTACATGCCTAAGGATCAAATTGCCAACCACCAAGAGCCCCTCCCTCCCTGCCCAGGGATGGTTCCTTGGTACGAAAGGTTATCTGTTCACCAACTGTAGAAGGGGTACCTTCTGAGGAGACCCTTTTGAGGGAACATTTCTCATTTCTTCAGCATGGCGCCCTGCCTTATACTGAATCAGACAATTGAACCATCAAGGTCAGTTTTGTCTAGATTGGTGGCAGCTCTCTAGGGTCTCAGGCAAAGGTCTTTCACATAACCATTTAGGAGATCCTTTTAATTAGAGCTGCCAAATATTAAACCAGGGATCTTCTGCATGCCAAGCAGATCTTCTATCACTGAGCCACATAGCCAAGTGTCTGGTCCAGAAGCTGTTCCTAGATCAAGCCCCAGTGGGATCCTAATACTCACCAAGGGAATATGTCCTGGGTTTTACAGCCTTACCCAAAAAAGAATGCCCAATAAACGGCATATCTGTGTCAGAAATATATAGAGGTCTTCCTGTTCTCCTATGAGATGCATTTTCAAAGAAAACTAGCTAAATCAAGTTAAAGTAGTCACGTATGCAATACTCAAACTTAGAATTGAAATATAGAATAGCTTTCTTAAATCACTTTAAGTATATCTTTCCTTGTGCTTCTCAACAAATGCCCACTTCACTGCTCAGATTTCCTTTCCAAAATGAAGCTGCTCAAACTGGAAACTGATATTTAATCTGAAGTACAATAACTGATTCTGGGAAATATGCAGGAAGTCAATTTCACTGCCAACTCCCATTATTAAATCTCGTCATCATACTAGCGGGAAAAGGTATTAGTTTCTTTAAACAATTGCAAGATGCATCTTCTACAGCCAAAACAGAGGTGAACTAAAGATTCTCAAAATGCAAATCTAGGGTTTGGTAGATCAGGTAGAGACAACTACTGGATAGAGGAACAGATGCAGACAACAGGTGTGGATTTTAACCCCATTTAAACAGAAACCATCCAATGATAATAGTGCCCTATCTTACTGAACTACTCTTGAGAAGAACAAAGTAAGCCTGAAGTAAATGTTAAAAAAAACTGTTGTATTTACATTCATACATTTATCGCAAAGTGATAGTGCTCTCTAGCAATGTTATATAAATACCACTATCCAAATATTCTGCATTCCTGGCTCCTGCCATTCCCTGCAACTTTTGAGTGGACAGCCCTAACATACTATCTAGGAAGAAGCTAAGCCAGGTAATCATGTCAGTCCACTAGAACAAAATCCAAAGGGATAGGAATATGATATCTTTATTAAGACCAACCAACATCTACAATGCTATATGTAAGCTTTTGAACAACACCAAACTCTTCCTCAGTCAGGATTTTCTTGGCTAGCCCTCATCAAGCAAAGACTATTTATTTTACACTGTTCATCATAATGAGAAGGAAGCAGTGAAAGACCACAGTTCCTTGCCAAGCGTACAGCTTGTAAACAAGTTGCCAAAAAAAAGCTTGCATTCATATTGCATCAAGTTAAGCACTTGTGAGCATCCAGAGGAAATGTGCATGCTTACAGATTATTGTGGACAGCTCAATATGAGTTGTGAAGT